TCAACTTGTTGCCTTCCTAATAAACATGACAATTGTTACCTCTAATCCCGATTTATAATATAAAAAAAGCATAATATTAAAAATAACCCTTAATATTTATTAAAATAATTATTTTGGTGTCTATTTATTTTGGAGCATTTTAGCTAACAACGTTTGACTTTGGGGTAAAATACTCATTCTATACATGAAAGATGATACCGATAACGACGGTAGTGATTATGACAACGGCGATGACAACGAAAACTTCAAAATTATAGAAATAAATTAGGATTTATAAATTTCTTAAATTAATATTTGATCTAATAATAATTAAAATAAGATTATAAAAATTAATGTTTTATAAATATTGTATTTTAATTAAATCATATTTAGATTTTTAACTAATTTATAATTATATATTTAATATTTATAATTTAATGTTTTATAAATTAATTTAATAATACTCATTATTAATTGTGTTAATAGCATGACAACATCATCATTAATATTATAATTACTATTATTTCATAGAATGCAATGCACGATTTCTAATTTTAAGCACCGACTATCTTCGTGCAAATATGCTCTGTCCAACAATATAATTCTTACGTGCAAAAAAATAAAAAAATAATATAAAATTAATAAAATGTATGGTCACATTAACATCAACTTCATCAAGTTCTCATCTCTTTGATTTATTTATTTGTACACCAAATTAACTAAAAACAAAATTAGTCATTAATGTTAATAAAGTTTGTCATTAAACTTTTTGCTTAGACCAAAAAATGTAATTTAAGAATTCCACTTTTTTTGAACTATTTGCTTAGACCAAAAAATAGTTTAGTGACTTAAAACAAAAAAAACATCATTTAAGCACCGACTATCTCTTTGATTTATTAATAAAATGTATGGTCACATGTCACACAAAATTAACTATTTGCTTAGACCAAAAAATAGTTTAGTGACTTAAAACAAAAAAACATAATTTAAGAACTTATTTTGATTAAAAAATAATTTAAATACTTAAAATAGTTACATAAAATGATTTAAAGATTTATTTTGGTTAAAAATAATTTACGAACTTAAACTAAAAAAACATTGTAATTTAAGAATTCATTTTCAGTATAGGGACTTAAAGATTTATTTATTTTATTTCGAATATATTTTACACAAATAATTTTTTGCTTTTTCCTTTGATGTCCCCACGCATTTCAATATCATTCTTTATATAACTGTGGGGAAATAACTATATGCAAGCAATCGTAATCAAGCATACGAGGACCAATTGATTAAGCACTGAGTATCCAAATTCAACTACTTAATTAAATAAACAAAGACCATATATCATATTCAGGTGGTCTATTTGTTAGTTTCATACGAGCTTTAGTGTAAAAAAAATTGCCTAAATTATATCCTAATTTAATTTTAGATGTCTGAATAAATTTTTATTAAAAATAGATGTATAATGTTTTATCCGTTATAATTTTAGGTGTCTAACATCTTTTCTGTTATACTTTTAGGTGCCTAGGCAGTAACTAGTAATGACCATTAAAAAATCGTTAAGTGACACATTTCATGTTTATATTTTGGTTTAATGCAAAAATAAGTACCCAAACTATACCCTAAGTTAACTTTAAGTGTCAAAAGAATTTATCGTTAACAAATAGGTGACTAGCGTTAAATGACTAGCCTATGTAATAATGGTAGTAAAAAAACTCGTTAAATGACACGTGCCATGTTTATATTTTTGAAATTTTTAATTTTTTAAAAAATAACTTAACAATATTATTAATTTTTTAAAAAATATTTTTTTCTTCCAAAATTACAAAAAAATGCAACAACCTTAAAATCTCTTATTTCAACATCATTATTAGTTATTGATTGTTGTCAGTTATCATCGATTCTCTTCGTCATTATAAAACAATCACTCACATATCAGATTTTTATTGTCGACTATCTCTCTTGTTGTATCCCAATCTCCCTAAATCCATAAATCTAAACTTAAATCCCTAAACATAATACCCAAATATCTAACTCTAATCCTAAATTTATCATTCTTATCCTAAGTTAACTTTAAAGATTTATTGGGACGATGAAAAGGGTTCTGAAACCAATTGGAGAGGGGAGAAACTTTTGTGCATACAAAAAGGTTGTGCAAACAAGAGGAGAGATTTTTTTCTTAAAAGTAAGTTTTAAAAATAATATTTTAATTTGTTTAAAAATAACAATTTTAATAAATATATATAAACACAACACATGTCAGACAACGATCGAATCTAACGATCGTTACAGCCTAGGCATCTAAAAGTATAATATCGAAAACGTTATGAACTTATTCTTAATAAAAATTTCTTTGAGCACCTAAAGTTAACTTAAAATATAGTTTGAGCACTTTTTTTTGCATTGAGCCGAAATATATAAAATATAGTTTGATTACTTATTTTTGCATTAAGCTAAAATATAAATATATTAAATGTCACTTAACGGTTGTTACTGTGTAGACACCTAAAAGTGTAATGAAAACAACTTTATACACTTAAAAATGTAACAAAAAATTATTTAAGCATCTACACTTAATTTAGGGTATAATTTAGACACTTATTTTTGCATTGAGCCTTATATATAATTTTAATTTTAATTTTAATTTTAATATAATTATATATATATAACGTTAATCAAAATTTTAGAATTATGACAAAAAGTTATCAATTTTAAGTCTTGATTGATGTAAAGTATTGAATTCAAACCTTGAATATCTGAATTTTAGATATAAATATATGATTTTATGTAAGGGTGTATATTTTTAAGAAATTATATTAAAAATTTAAGTGTACGGAATTAAATTATCAATAGAAAATATAAATTCTTTTTATATAAATTATATAAAATTCTAAAATTTTCAAATGATGCGATCGTAACCTTAATATTCACTAAGTTATTTTTACCATGAATATGATTTGGATTATAATTAATATAAATATAAGTCAAACATGATATACATAAAATAGAATTAAGAAATAAACCTATTTTGTAAAAATATGTAAAATATTTTCCCTCCTAATTGTTTTTTAAAATCAAAATTAAATAATAATAATTAAATATATAAGGAAAATATTTATCTTTCTATTTTATTTTTAAAATTTAATTATATTTTTAATAAATTTCTCTCCTAATTGTTTCAAATATATATAAAATGAAGAACTCCCTCCAAAATCCTCAGAGTTCTTTTAATGGCCAACTTCGAAGCTCCATCGTTCTCTCTCGGACTCGATCTCGATCTCGACGCCGATTTGGAGCCCCGGTTACCGTACGGCGTCCAGACTGGACTTATCTCTGCACAGAATCCTTATTCGACTTTCAACACCCTCGAAGAAAATGCTGAAGAGCTCGAGTCTCAACAAGTTATGGACTCGGATCCGGATACTCGACCAAACCCTCCTCGTGTCTTAAAGCGGTTGGGTCGGGCCGCCGATAAGATTTCGGCAACGAAGAAAGAACCGGAAAAGACAGCGGCTTGGAATAATGGGGACGAGGAGATTGAAGAGTTCTCTTCTTCACAGGAAACAAACGGTAAAATCTTTTAAAATTTATTTAGCTGATTTGGATGAAACGTTGATTAATTTGAAATGTGTTATCCCTTTCAACTTTCGTTTGAATCTAAATTTTATGGGTTTCCTATTTGTTTTAAATTTATTACGTGATCTATAATGGGAAATTTGAGGTCCTATAGGGCTTACATTTGGAAGGGAAAGTGTAAATTTTAGTTAGTGGAGATAGAAGAGATGTGACGTAAAATTAAAAGATTGAGGTAAAAGAAAGATTAAAACATATTTCTTAATTGTAATGGGGTTTTGAGTATACTAACTCTGCTAATATCCTGAGATTGATTATGTTGGAATGATTGTCATGAAATGGAGAGAATAAAGATTTCCCTGAAATTGACTGAGCTTGAGTTGTTTATGTTGGCTATCTATGAATATGAATGATTGCAGTTAAGTTGATCTTCTATCACATTATAGCAACTTGAACTTCATCTGATAATGAGAATTAGATGATGTTTAAGCAATTTGTTTAAGACATAATGTTTAAAAATGTCCCTAAACGTTTGATTAAATAGTCATTTTAGTCCTTATTCTTTTTTGGAGCATTTTGTCCCTCCTAAAGTTTCATTTTAAGGAAAAAATACCCCTAAAGTTTAATTAAATAGTAAATAGTCACTTTAGCTCTTATTTTTTGGGTGCATTTTGACCCTCATATTTTTCTCTAAAATGAAACATTGAGGCTAAAATATTCCAAAAAGAATAGGGACCAAAGTGATTATTTGATCAAAGGTTAGAGTTTTTGTTGAACTATAAATATGATTTTAAAGCTATTTTACTTGGGTTCGAGTTGATTGTTGTATTTGGATATCCTTCCAATATGCTCATTCTCAAGCCTTTGAAGTTTTCCGATATATTTGGAAGATATACTCCTATACTCCTGTCTGAATGTATGCCGGACATGGTATTTTAAGGAAAACACAGGGCTCAGATAACATAGTTTTGAAGCACGATTTTTCACTGTTTATTTTGGGTTCCAATCTTTGTTTTAAATCAGTAATTTGTGCATGTGTTCCCTGCTCCTGTACACGGATTGTTACTGAGTTTATAAAGTAGCAGACGTGGATTCTTGGACAAAGTATCATTCCGTATGTAGCAGTTCCAAGGTCCCATTGAAGAGACTTGGGCTTTTAACCGCTCAATCATCAAGCCAATCAAGTTCAAGGAAAAAGGAAGAAGAATCGGTTGCCCCAGCTTCTGCAAATTTAAAGGCCAAACATGATGGACTGACATTTCCAAAGTTAACTATCAGTCCTCTTCGAAGATTCCAATTACTTGACTCGGATTCTGACGATACCTCAGACCGCAAGGATACAATGAAAGGAGCTCATAAATTTGATCCACAACAATCTATAGTCAGTGATGAAAAGACAACGAAAAAAACATCCCTTAGTACACCTCAGAACAAGGATTTATGGAAAGATTTCTCTGTAATGAATAGTTCTCGTATTCAGACACCTGCATTCGATGAGGTATATAAAGAATATTTTCAATCTTCGAATGATAAGAATGCTTCTAAGAAACTCGAGAGCCAGAAGGTGGAGAAACACCAGGAGTTAGATGACCCCTTGCCTCCTGCACATCGCTACTTTTTCCATTCCGATCCGAGGATCCGGAAAGTAGTCAGTAGTCGCTTACCCTTCTTTACCCCCTTGAGCATGGTCAGCAACGGACAACATAAACAACCTAATGTCTCAGTTATGGATTTTACGTGAGTAGCCTTTATATGCATTGGTTTTCTATATTGAACTTCAGTTTGTTTACTATGTTTTATATAAACATCACTGTAGGAGTCAATTCAGCAAAGGAGAACCATCAAAACAGAGAGGAGCTCAAAAAGCTTTTGGCAAGGATGTCTCAACCAGTAGAAGAAACAAATCGAAGAAACCGAATGCAGAAAATGGTGCATTTGAAGGTTGGGTAAATCCGAAAAGCAGTGAAGGTATTCCCAAGAATGCTGGGAAGAGAAGAGTTCATGCTAGCGGCAGTCAATCTGCTGGCCACTGGTATACATCTCCTGAGGGGAGGAAGGTAGGTTCAAATTCGTAACACTTCATTTTCATCGCACTTTCTTTAACACATCAATGCATAAATATAAACGTGTAGCCCATGCATTTATGAACACCAGTCATTTTCAGCTCTATTAGGAGATTTGCTACAATTTTCTTTTCTGCTGTGGAAAATAGTATGAACTAATTTTCTGCAATATTTTTGGTTTTGATAAATGTAAATCTTAGTATAATCTACTCTTGTGCTGCAGGTTTATGTTACCAGGACTGGTCAGGAATTGTCGGGTCAAATGGCCTATAGGCATTATCAGAAGGTAACATATTAAAACAGTTTTACTTTTCTGAAATTTAAGCCCCTAGCCTTCCTTTAGCTGAACTCCACCATCAAGTAGGCCAAGGCCTATTTAGGTTTTGGTGATGATTTAAAGAGATTTATCTTGAAATTTATGCAATGATTAAAATGGTCTAACTATAGGTCAAACTGGTTAAACCTCTAGTTTTTGGTTCAATCGATTAGTTCATTTCGATGACATTTTGAATATTGTTTTTAATGTTAAAGAAATATTAACTATAGTGGTTAAATTGGTATAATTGTATAGTCTTAGACCAGTTTTTATTCCCAAAATTGTTTTTTGCTGATTAAGTTAATGAATGGTTTCATGTAGTACATTGGACTGGTTAAGCGGCTGATTCTTGGTCCAATGAGATGATTCGATTCATTTAACAACATTTGTATCCTAGTTAAGTCCAGTTTTGTTGGTAACAGGAGAGTAGAGGTGGCTCTAGGAAGGCGAAAAAGAAAAGCAATGCGAGGAAGAAGAAAGGATGAAGGCCATTAAGTGTCTTCATATTCCCAAATTATTTTCCTTTTTTTGGGTGGTGTAAATGTTGTAACATGCTATATTTTACTTACTTTCTTGTTTGCCCCTTCAATGATATGGTGATGCAGTTCTATATTTTACTTTCTCAACAGTTCAATTCAATTTAGTTAGAAAAGACTCCATTTTACATTCTGTTTAGCATTGATTTTGAAAAGCACTTTTGAAGTCGATGGATTACGCTGGTGAAGGGGAATGCCATTTTCAGTGTTTCAGACACATCCATATGCACTGCAAGTAATGTTTTTGGTCAATGCACTGCATGCAGACTGGTGCAAGTAATTTTAAACTCTTCTATGCTAACATAATATATGTGGTTGTACTAATTTATATATCAGTCATGTGCACTGCAGGCAAGTTGGTGTAAATAATTTTTAATTAAATTGCCATGCAAGACTTTAGCTGTATGCAGGACTGGGTTGACTTTTTTTTCCCATGAATTGGTTGACATGAATCGGGTTATAAACATGTAGGAAATTTAAATCTGTACTCTCACCATAGCCTTTTTTGGTTTCTGAACTTTGTTGTTTCTTTGTTGAGAAAATATGGGAACACTTTTTTGCCTGATATTGGTGTTAATGTTGCATCTTTCATGGAGTTTGTCTTCCTCTCTTCCTCCATCCTCTCATTTATGTCTCCCACACCAGAGAGCTGCTTTGCTTCGATTTAAAGACACCATTTCTCTGAGTGATTTCTGTGGGGGATGATTACTATAGTCTTTACCCCAAGACAGAGTCTTGGAACAGAAGCATTGGTTGTTGTTCATGGGATGGAGTCAAATGCGACAGTCTCACCGGTCATGTTATTGGCATCGATCTTAGTCACAGTTGCATTACCGGTCCTTTATTGGCAAGTGCAAACGACAGCCTTTTCCACCTTCACAGCATTCAATGGCTTGACCTGAGCTACAACGACATCAATGGCTCTCTCAGCGGCCTTTTTCACTTGCATGGACTTCAACGTCTCAACCTCGTCTACAGCCATTTCAATGGCACCATCCCATCTGAGTTATTTAGTCAGTTGGTGAGTTTAACCCATCTTAACCTCTCTGTTTCCGGCTTCAATGGCATAATCCCACATCAAATAAGCCTTTTGTCAAGTTTGGTTTCACTTGATCTTTCCTCTCGTTCTATTCCTTTCTTTAGGTTTGATGGCCAAGGTTTTGAGATGCTTGCAACAAACTTAACCAAGTTAAGAATCCTTGTGCTTGACTCTGTAGGCATGCCTGATGTTGCACTTTCTTCCTTTTTGAACTTGTCTTCATCACTACAACATCTGAGTCTCAATTGGTGTCTGTTACATGGGGAATTTCCATCTCAAGTTTTTCAGCTTCCGAACCTTAAACATATCGATTTAGGGTCGAATCAGAATCTCAGAGGTTATATCCCCAAGACAAACTGGAGTAGTGGCCTTGAGCTGTCGGACCTTTCCTATTGTGTGATTTTACGGGGTCAATTCCACCATCATTTGCAAATCTCACTCGAATTGTTTCTATGGATTTATCTGGAAATTCGATTCAAGGACAGATTCCAGATGCTTTTGGGAGCCTTACCAAATTATCTTCTTTGAGATTTTCTGGCTGCAATTTGAGTGGTCCAATTCCAATACCATGTTCAACCTCACACAAATTACCACTCTGGATTTGTCGCATAATCACTTGGAAGGTTCCTTTCCTAATCATGTTACTGGCTGGCTGTTTACTCTGCCAACTCTGCTGCAGTTAGACCTCAGTCATAACAAATTAGCCGGTCCGATAGACCGAATTTGGATGCCTTCTGTCCAGCATGTTGATTTGGGTTATAATGACTTTGATGGTCCACTTCCCCGTTCTATTTTTGATCTTGTTAACCTTACTTCCCTTCGTCTGTCATCGAACAACTTTAGTGGTCTCATCACGCCCGATATGCTTTCGAAACTCACAAGTCTGCAATTTCTTGATCTTTCGAATAATAGCTTATTATCATTAAGCACAGGCGACAATGGTGTGAACTATTTCTTCCCTTGGCTTCAAACTGTTTTGTTATCTGGTTGTAGCATAAGGCGGTTCCCGAGTTTCTTCCGAACATCCTATGTGGAAGTTTTAGATCTTTCCCATAACATGATTTCTGGTGGAATTTCCAATGGGAAGGTCTGCAAGTATTGAACCTTTCTCATAACTTTCTGACCACTTTGGAACGATTTCCGGGTTCGAGTTTGCAAATTCTCGACCTTCGTTCCAACTTGCTTCAAGGGCCGATTCTCTCGACTTGCTTGAATCTTCGAACTCCAGATCAACAGTCCTACCTGCGTTTGCTACTAATTTCAGAGAATAAAGTGACAGGAAATATCCCTTCTTCTATCTGCAATTGCACTTCACTTGTAATTCTGGACCTGTCCAAAAACATTTTGAGTGGAACTATACCTGAATATCTTGGAAATTTCAGCTATCGTCTACGTTTGATAGACTTGCAGATGAATAACTTGTATGGCAAGGTACCCGACTCTTTCGGGAATAATTTGTTGAGCCATCTTTTCTTCAATGACAATCGATTTGAAGGATTAGTTCCGCGATCTTTGGCTAATTCTACTTCATTGCAAGTCTTGAATTTCGGGAACAACAAGTTAACTGATAGGTTCCCCCATTGGTTAGCTTCACTTCCAAGTCTGCAAGTTCTTATCTTGAGATCTAATAGATTTCATGGATCACTGCTTCATCCCCTAGCTTCATACAACTTCTCGGTGTTGCGAATGATCGATCTTTCGGGAAACAGGTTTACTGGCTCCTTGCCAACTAAACTCTTCCGAAATTTGAGAGCAATGAGAGAGAAACCTAAAGGGAGACCTTTAGATTTATCATTTCTCAGATACGAGGGTGGCAACTATATCTCTGAGTTTTACCAAATTTCTGTGAATGTAACAACGAAAAGGTTGGAGATTGAATTGATGAAGGCTGCAGCCCTTTTTGTATCTATGGACTTGTCAAACAACCAATTCTGTGGACGAATTCCCGACGAAGTCACACGACTTATTTCGCTGCAAATGCTCAACTTCTCTAACAACAACTTCACAGGTACTATCCCATCATCGTTCGGGAATTTGGTAGCGCTTGAATCGTTAGATCTTTCATCGAACAAGCTCGGTGGCATGATTCCTTCTCAAATGACCAAGCTGACATTTCTTTCAGTGCTGAATCTTTCGGAAAACGATCTCGTTGGACAAATTCCCCATGGGAATCAATTTGATACCTTTGATAATGATTCCTACATCGGTAACTTGGGATTATGTAGCTTACCATTGTCCAAGCAATGCAACGACCACGGAGAGGCCGAACCGACTGCACCATCGGTGACCGAACATGAGGATTCTCAAGTACCGTCATTATGGCAGGTGGTGATGATGGGGTACGGAAGTGGAGTTGTGCTAGGATTGAGCCTTGGTTACATCGTGTTCACAACCGGAAGACCGTGGTGGTTTGTCGGAATGGTCGAGAGAGATTTGCAATACAAGTTCACAAATTGGATCCGAAGAAAGAAACCGAGAAGAAACTAGCTACGGGTCCAGCATAGTGCCAAGGTGAGTACTACTTGCATAATTTCTCATGTATTATATCTAACTGGTTTAACATCTAGTTTTTGGTTCAACCGATTACTTCATTTCAATGACATTTTGAATATTGATTTTAATGTTAAAAAAGTATTAACTATAGTAAATAATTAACGAAACTATATATATTTGGCATAATTGTGTATAGTCATGAGTGGTTTCATATAGTATATTGGACTGGTTAAACAGTTGATTATTGGTCCAATGAGATGATTCGATTCATTAAACAACATTGGTATCCTAGTTAAATCCAGTTTTGTTGGTAACAGGAGAGTGGAGGTGGCTTTAGGAAGTCGAAAAAGAAAAGCAATGCGAAGAAGAAGAAAGGAGGATGAAGAAGGCCATTAATTGTCTTCATATTGCCAATCTATTTTACCTTTTTTGTGGTGTAAATGTTGTAACATACAGGGATGGTTCGAGGGAGCGGATGGTTGGGGTGCGTAAAAAAAATTCAATTCAATTGATCCGATCAATTGATTTGATTCGAAAATTCGGATATCCGATCTGTTTTTAAATATTTGAATAATTCAATCAGATACGAATCAGTGAAATTTCAATTTTGGATTATCCAAAAAAATTTCAAAGCTTTTCAACACGTATTGGAGATAAGTCTCTAAGGCATTCTTTTTCTCTTTCGTTTGTTCCATATAAAAATATATAAGTAGTTACTTAATTGTTTTTTATCGTCAAATGAAATTGAAAAAAATAATTATTAATTTAACAGTTATATAAATTAAATATATATTTTAATATAATATTATTTAATTTGAAGTTTATCACAATGGTTAAACAGTTGCTTAATAATACATGATTTTCTAAGTTCAAATCCTAAAATATGTTAAAATTATATATTTTATGGTGGAAATGTGAATAAGTTAATATTAATTTTCGTTGCCCTTATAAGTAAAAATTAAATCATCGTTAATTTTTTAAAGGTAAATAATTAAAACAAAAGTAATATATGGATGACTAAATAGGTAATTTATCCTTTTTTATTATCCTAGCTTCGCCTCCTTATCCAACGTAAGAGAACAACTCTACGATTTATCAGCAGTGAATAAACTGCTCCCACCTGCAGTGGAGTATGGCTTTTAAAATGATAAACAAAATTGAGGCTAAAAAAAGGAAAAAGAACTCCACGTACGAAACGAACGAGAGTTACGCGCGCATTTGCTTCGCTCTCACATTTATCAGATCTCTTGGAATTTCAATTAATCTTTTTAATTCTTATTATACATTTCAAATAATTTTTTTTGAAAACTGATTCTGATTGATTAATATCCGCCATGATTACTTTCAGCAAGATCAAATCCCTTGATTTCTACAGGTTCGCATGATATTATATCTCATTTCTCCAAGTCGATTCATCGCATACTTTTTTTTGTTTGTTAGAACTTTATGATAATTGTTGCGAATAATTTAGGTTCGATGTTTTTATGGATTTAAAGCATGGCAATGAGAAAGAGTTAATTGAATCTCAGTTAATCTGCTTAGGTTGAACATTCTATTTTATCTATGTACTGAAGAACGGGAACTGTCACTTGTTAGCGTCGGATGATTATCCTTTTGAATAAATTCGACGAATTCTTGTTTGGTTGCTAGGACTTTGATAGTAGGGTGGCGAATGAGCTAAAATTGTAGTTTAAGGATATAGTCGTGAATTTGAAATTCATGTTTTTATGCCTTTCAAATATATAATCATATCAAATTTTAACTAATTTATACATGCTACACGTATGCATTTTATATAGTAAAGGAAATCTGAATCTAAAATTTCAGTTTCACGTATCTGCTGAATTTCTTTTCTTTCTCTGCAGGAAAATCCCTAGAGATTTGACAGAGGCGTCGATATTGGGTGCATGGTTATCCATAGTAGCTGCAGTGTCTATGATCTTTTTATTTGGAATGGTAGGCAGCCATTTTACTACTCTAATTCTGATTTGATTTGACCTGCTTTGGGTGTAGGTTGATTTTTTCATCCAAACAGCGTTATCTTACATATTTTAATCTTAGTAGTCGTTGTTATTCCCCTTCATTTCTCTGATGATACTTATGGGATTCATTGTAGTTTAGGAATGAAGCTACTACCTTGCAATGAAAGCTACGTTCCCGCTCACCCATTATAATTCGTGACATATATTTTGCAGGAATTGAATAATTATTTAACAGTCAGCACCTCGACATCTATTATTGTTGACAATAGTTCTGATGGGGACTTTCTACGCATTGATTTTAACATCAGGTGCATTTCTTTTCTGTACCATTGTTATCATTTGATGTACCCATTAGGTTGTAAAGCCTTTATGTAGTTAAAGTCTAAGTTTTATGTGGTCGTGTCTTAGCATACATCTTGATCTTTGGTCTTGCTTCTTGAATTAAGAGTTGTTATTGGTTTTTCTTTTCTTTTTTCTTTCGAGTTCCTTTACAGATGCATCATCCTTATCTCATTTATGAAAGAATATAGGAATAACTTGAGTTAATCTTTGTCCTGTAAAAGTTAGCCTCGAACTGGCATCATGTTGCCTGTCATAGTTTTTCTCTGCTCATGTTTGAAATGTAAAAAAATAAAAGAAAAGGAATAGATTGAGTATAACTATTAGTATGTATGTATACATGCGAATCAGTGAATGTGCATTTACATTGGATGATTCTTTGCATGGATTGTGATAATAGCTGTTTGTTAGTAATATATACAAGGTTCAAGTGAACTTCATGTCAAATTAAAAGCAGAGGCCTCTTCACTTTGTAGATACACAAATGTGGTTGTATAAGTTTTTTTTTTCTCCATACATTTATGGACAGTGTACTGGGCACTAGTTGCTTGAAATGTATAAAATTTCAGGTGTCAAGAACATGATCTCATGTTTGGTCTCAATTTAGCTTAGCAGGAAGGACTTGCAATATTCTTGCTTGATAGCTGATGAACTATACATTATATTGTGGTTCGTAGGGTACTTTATGTTGCTTGAGATTTCTGGAAAGATTTTTTAAAAGAGTAGGTTTATGTTGTTAAATGTCCAACAATTAGTTAAACATTAATCATGCAGGTTTCAATATGTTTATATCAGTTTTCTTCAAAACTCATAAGTTGCTACAGTTTCAGTGATCCTAATATGTGTCTCTTTTATTCTTTCAATATCCTTTAACATTGTTCAAGCTTTATTTTTAATGATAGATAATTAGGTTGGCTGACGATTCATATTGATCTCCAGTTTTCCAGCGCTCTCATGTGAATTTGCATCTGTTGACGTGAGTGATGTATTGGGAACTGTAAGTATCTATCATGAGATGTGTTTCATCTGCTTAATTTTGTTGAAAAGGAAAACGTATGCTTCTGTATTTCATTATAACTTATAATAGATGGATCTTCCCTTGCTCTAAAATGTTTTACTAGCTGGAAGCTTTAGTAATGCACTTCTAAGTTCAATACCTGGCTCTGGAAATTTTTTTGGATTAGCTATTACCTTGTTTGGCTCCCAAACTTATATCATAATATTTTATGCTATAGAAACTGAAACGTACCACACGTCTATGCCCGAGTATTGTTTTAATATTTTCATGTCAAGATTTATATTCATACTCTCTTCTTCAAGTTGCCTGAGTGTTTTTCCTCTATGGCATTTTAACATGTAAATCTCTGGTCCAAATGACCAAATATGTGCATTCTGTTTACAGAGCAGGTTGAATATAACAAAAACAATTCGAAAGTTTACTATCGATCCAGATTTAAGGCGCATGGGTGCGAGTATCAATCTCAACATGTTCCAAGTGTCATTCAGCATGGAGAGGAAGTTGATGATGAAGCTGTTGTGGGTTCTGTATCATTGAATAGTGATAGCTTTGACAGAATTGCACATGAGTAAGTTGAATGCAAAAATTGCAAGCCGTTTAATTTACGTGTTACATTCCCTGCTTTGGTGCTTTCTTTGTTAAATGCCACTCTTGGTGATTCCTCTATTTAGTTTTTTTTAATGGTCTTTCTTGCAGGTATCCAATTTTGGTCGTCAATTTTTTTGCTCCTTGGTGCACTTGGAGTACTCGCCTGGTAATCTACTACTAGCATGCATTATCTTTGTCTGGAAGTATTTCCTGAAAGCATTATTGTCTAGATCTTCAGTTGTCATAATTAATTTTATATAGTATGCTGATATAGTTGCCAAATCTTCCTGTTTCTTGTTCCTTTTATGAATCGTTTTTTATTGAGCTTGAAAATGTGCCTTTTTAGCACTTAGAGCTTGGGTGTCTTCTGAGCTCATCAGTTGCATTACCACGTTTCTTTGGTTTCAGAGACCATCGTGGGAGAAAGCTGCAAGTATAATTAGAGAAAGGTCTAAGTACATATCGTTTTCTCCCCATGAAATCAATGTGTAAATAGTTTTTTGATTTAGGGTTGAATTTTGCACCCTTTTGATTTTCACAGATTTAATCCAGAAACGGATGGACGTATTCTTTTGGCAAGGGTTGATTGCACCGAAGATTTTGAGTTATGTAAGAGGTATTAATCAGTTTGACACTTTATCGTTTTAGAATATGATTAAATGTCATTGTTTGACCGCTAACAATGTAGTCACATTTCATCTTTCTGATATTGCAGATACATACCAATCGTTGTCACTTCATATATTTAAACAATGCTGTCTTTATTCTGTGTTCTTTTCCTTACAGGCATCACATTCAAGGGTATCCATCCATTCGCATCTTTAGAAAAGGCAGCGATTTGAGGTAAAAGAAAATATTATATTCTGACGTGATGATCTGAAGCTTGTATCTGTCCCATTGTTCACAGACATGTTTTTAACCTTCCATGTTCTTTTGGCCACTAACTAGAAGATGATTTTCATTCCTTCTAAGCTGTTTAATATCACTAACTAGAAGCGATGTGAAGCTTGTATCTGTCTGACTTGTATGTATTTCAGGGAGGAAAATGGACAACACCAACACGAATATTATTATGGAAATCGCGATACAGAAGCATTGGTTAAGGTACACTTAAAATTAGTTTTAAAATGGCCAATCACATATACAGATCATCTTTGAAATCATATTAGATAAAAGGTGCCCGCATGACCCAATGCAATTGTCTGTTTCTCCCAGGCAATGGAAGAATTGGTTTCACCTATTCCACTGAAGAGCCAGAAGCTGGCTTTAGCACCGTTGACAGGAGGATGTAGAATCGAAGGATACGTGCGTGTAAAGAAGGTGATCAATACAATCCTCAACTAGATTCCGACTTTTACTTGTACAATCATTTCTGTTTGTTCTCAAGATAAACAAAAACAAACGTTAAACTGTTAGTTATGTTATTCCTTTGATCTCTAATGAGCAAATGCTGAATTGTTTTTCCTTATATCTAATACTGGAAGTACTAAATTTGTCCTGCACTTTGCAGATTCCTGGCAACCTTGTCATTTCTGCTCGCTCAGGAGCCCATTCTTTTGATTCTTCCCGAATGAACATGTCTCATGTCATAACCCATCTTTCCTTTGGCAAAACAATTTCACCCCAAGTACTGAGTGATGTGAAGCGACTGATACCTTATCTTGGTCAAAGCCACGACAAGTTGAATGGCCGATCGTTCATTAATCACCAGGATTTAGACACAAATGTTACCGTAAGTTCATTCTTTCCTTTTAAGTGCCATTGTGTTGACCACAAATGTTCTTTTATCTGCCTTCTCCTCTAAGTAACCAATTGCTTGAGGTTGATTGATTGACACTATTGAAAGATAAGGTATTTTGGTTGAGATTATGGCTATGGCTGCGATAGGAAAACCTCGTGAATGCGTATAAAATCTCGAAGATCGGCCCCCAGAAACTCGAAGAACTCTTTTAAACTTTTACAAGCTTCATCTTTCTTGATTGCATTTTTCAGATTGAGCATTACCTTCAAGTAGTGAAAACAGAGGTGGTTACAAGAATATATTCTCCTGAGAGTTCGTTACTCGAGGATTACGAGTACACAGCGCACAGCAGTCTGTCGCAAAGCATAGACGTACCGGTTGCGAAATTTCATTTCGAGTTATCTCCGATGCAGGTTATTCTCCAAACTGTTTGATTACATTTAATCAAGTTTTACCTTCAGTCCTTGTTTTTCTTAAATTGAACCTTTTTTTTCCCTTTCCTTCTTTTTCCACAGGTTTTAATAATCGAAAACCCGAAATCATTTTCACACTTTATCACCAATCTCTGCGCTATAATTGGAGGCGTTTTCACGGTTAGTACCTTATTATTGTGTTTGCGCGTTTTTCTCATCATAATTGCATGAGTTAATTGCATCACATGTCCTCAAACTATGACCCTCATTTTAAATTGGTTCCTAAGCTTTTGAACATTCTAATTTCATCCCTAAATGCGACTCTCTTTCTAAATTGATCCCCAAACTTTTGAATATTCTAATTTTATCCCCAAATTCATCCAAATATATAATTAGTTTCAACCATAGGTTAACCTAAATTTTATTTTATTTCAAACATATTATAATATAACTTAGTCTAATTGAATTGAATTCAACTTCAAGCCTAAGCAATTTAAATAAGTCGAATTTGATCATTTTAATGCTCGACTCAAATAAGTCACAAGTCTATTAGCTTTTATATTTTCAGTTAGTATTGAAAAATTTTATTTTAAACTTGAACTCAAATTTAAATTTTAGTGTAAATAAAAACGATAATAAAATGAAATATAAATTATTTTATCTACTTTTGCCGTCGAATTTGCATGAATATTGAAAATATCGACGTTGGTAGGTATATCTTATATCCATGACCGTCCCATATTGTTCGACTAATGTTTATTCAGTTTAACAGTATAATATTATATTTTATCATTTTATATATTTGATACATTTTTTATTTTATGACTATATATAGTTTTTAGTATATATAATAAATAAATATAAATAAGTTAGAATCTATTTACACAATGCAATTTTTTTTAGTTTTACACATTTAATACCATTGAATGAGTGGAAATAGAATGTTGAGATTAATTCTTTATTTTTTAGTGAATATCTTATCATTTTCTACTGTTAATATCTTTCATCTATTTTTACTTATTCAGCAGTTTTAAATATGTATTAATTTATCGTGTATAGTTGTATCCTATCCTAATATAAATAATATTTATGACCTATGATTTTAGTAAAGATATTTCATAGATATTAAATATAACAACATATGTAAACGAGCTCAATAAAGTATGTTTAAAAGAGTTTGATTTTATTAATAATTTTTAGAGTAAGTGGTTAATAGCTCTCAAGTTGATATGTTCTCTTCTTTCTAACTATAAATTGTTCAAAAATTTTTTTTAGGTTTTATCTAAATTTTAATAAAATTGAGTCAAATTTGAATTCTAATTAAATTTATAATTTTTAGTTTTTAAATTTAATTCGACTCGGTTACATCTATAATCTTGTAATGGACGGTTATTTTTTCTTTTTCTTTTTAATTTTTCCTTTACTAAACCATGAGCTTTTTTATTCACAAATCTTCTCCACGGATTGCAGGTTGCTGGGATTTTGGATTCAATTCTATACAATACAATAAGGCTGATGAAAAAAATAGATTTAGGCAAACATATTTGAAAGGCTAACAAAAAAGAATAAAACACAATTCTGTTATTTTGAATGTGGATAATTTCATATAATTGGGATGAAATAGACATTCTGGCTTTACATTCTTTCAACAGCCCCCGACGGAAATTCAGAATGTACTGAAATCTGATAAAACTAGTTTGATCAGCAGCTCAACTTACTGATTTCAAGTGGTTTTTCTTGTTACCAAAAACTAATAATAATAGTAATTGCAATTTGACCTTACTCCATTGGTCTTTGGTCAATGTTCATTAGCTTCGTACCAAGGAGAAATGGTCAGCGCCTTCTCATCATACGCATTGACTTTTAAAATTTTCATATGATATATTAGTTCAAATCAAATTTTATTATTAATACAACTCTGCTAATTCAATGTATTTCAATCAATATGAATTAAATGATCTTAGTAGTTAATAAATTTTTGGTTTTTAAAAGCGCGTCCCCTAGGTACGAGATTACTTTGTACTGACTTTTAAGGGTAAACTTTACTTACGGTCACTAACGTTTTAATAGGTGTTCATAATGGTCATTAACGTTTTAAAAATTACACTACAATCGTTATAATTATCAATGAATTAGTTACTCTTCTATTAACCCAATGAAATCGATGATGTGGCATATTAATAAAAAAATGAATATCTAATTTACTCTTTAAACTATAATTATAAGTAAAATTTTAATTGAACCATTGAGTGATTTCAGTAGTAAAAAAACGTTATTCTCTTTAATAAATTTGAGTAGTTGTGTTTGCACTACAAAATATTAGTGTGTTGTCAAAGTATTAGTTTGATTTATATCATATAGTACAAATGGTACGCCTTATATACGAAAGACGTGAGCTGCGCCTTACGCTTAGGTTTCAGGGACCTTTTGCGTCTCGATGCTCCTTGAGCCATTAAAAACCAAGAATAAATTGTTATTATTCTTTGAGGTCCCGAATTTAAACATCATGTATGCTTATGTGTATGAGCATTTAATGTCAACCAATTGAGAATCTTTGACAAAATATTATCTTATATTTACTCGAGACAAATAAAAAAATTATTTCAGTCAAAATTTAAATCTTTATCTAGTATCCCATCCTATTTAATTAACATATTATTAATCAATTTAATAGTTTTTAATTTCTTAATGATGTGATATTTCAACATTAAATCACATAATATATTTTTAAATTATCATATTAAGGGAATGATTAAAAATTACAAAAAAATGGATAATTTTAATTTTATTACCTAAGATGCAGAGTTCTGCTACATAAAATATCCCATCAATGGGATAAAGAACAACTACTTACAACAAAAAAGGATGGTCAACACCCCCAACGATTACAAAGATAAATATTGATACCATCTAATCTATTTATATTATTTCTTCTTAATTGAATACCTACAATCTCTTAAATGGAACTCAAAATTTCTTTCTCACTTCTTTTGCTTCCTCGGTACAATCTTCTGTTTCTTTCCTTCCATATGAAATAGATTAAAGCGCACCAAACAAGTTTCAAGATAGTTGTGAGGAGGGACTTATCTTTCCAAGCACCACTGGCCCAGTCTAGCATGCTCACCCATGGTAAGGTAGAAGTGCTTAAGCCAGAGAGATTCAAAATAACCTTCCATAAGGAAACTGTCATAGAGCACTTACTAAACAGGTGGTCCCTAGTCTCCGTAGCTTCATTGCAGATTATGCATGAACAGTCGGTAATGATTCCCATTCTCAGGAGCTTCTCCCTAGTTGGGAGTCTATCTAAAATTGTCATCCATATAATCATGCTTTGTTTGGGGACGTGTAGAGGAAATCATATCAGTTTGTGCCATAAGACTTTATCTCGTTTTACTCGTAGTTCTTTCAAGAAATGTTTTGTCTTCGTAGCTCCAGTAGATAAAATAGGGATTGAAATTGCCCATAGTTTTAATAAGCGTCTGATACACCAACTAGAATTTGCTATATATTCCACTAACAGAAAGTCTGCAAAAATTTAAAGATTAATTTTAATTAATAAAATTTAAAGATTAATTTTAATTAATAAAATTTAAAAATTAAATTAATAAAATATTAAATTTATAGACTAAAAATATTTTATCCTATAATAAAAATTATATATTTTTTAGAAATAATTATTTATAATGATCGATTATAAATCTATTTGGTGAGAGTAAAAAATTTTAATAAATTATAAATATGATTCTCATATATTTTAAAACTCAAATTATAAAAATAAATAAACCTAACTGCACGATATGAGTTCAAACTTCTTAGAGTGCGTTGGTTCACGGAATGTAAGATTATCAGTGGAATGTAAGATTACCAGAGAATAAGATTACTATGGATGTTGTATTTTGTGTTTGGTTGACTTAGCAGGAATGTAAGATTATCATGTTCGATTAAAAGAATAAAAGATTATTAGAATGTATATTTGACCAAATTGTCCTTATTATATATTTGTTTTTTAACAAGTTGAAAAATATTTATATATTTTATTTAAAAAATTTAAATTCATAAAATTTATATATTTTTTTACAAAATTAAAATATAAAAGTTTAATAAATGGTAAAGTTTTATTTTAACCCCTGAACTTCATATAAAATTTTAATTATAGATTTTTTTTGTAAATCAAAATAGTTTAAGAATAAATTTGTAATTTAACCTTCGTAGAATTTTTATTATTCAATTACAGAAAAATGATATTTTTTAAAGAAAAAAAATTTAAGGACATTTTAATCCAAAACGCCGGTAATCCAACAATACCTAAGAAAAGAAAGGTAATGACATTCTCGGTAATATACCCAAAAAAATCCACTATTAGTAATCTTACATTACCGGAATGAGATTCCGGGCTAACCAAACGGGGGAATGTGGATTTCATTCCCCCATTTGGTTGGTCGGGAATCCCATTCCCGGTAATGTTTTATTACCAATAGTAGATTTTTGGGGTATATTACCGGGAATGTCATTACCGCCTTCTCTTAGGTATTGTTGATTACCGATATTTTGAACTAAAATGCCCTTAATTTTTTTTTCAAAAATCATTGAATAATAAAAATTCTACGAAGGTTAAATTACAAATTTATCCTTAAACTATTTTAGATTTACAAAAAAAAAGTCTATAATTAAAATTTTATATGAAGTTCAGGGGTTAAAATAAAATTTTACCATTTCATTAAACTTTTATATATTTTTAATTTTGTAAAAAAAATATATAAATTTTATGAATTTAAATTTTTTAAATAAAATATATAAATATTTTTCAACTTGTTAAAAAAACAAATATATAATAAGGACAATTTGGTCAAATATACATTCTAATAATATTTTATTCTTTTAATCGAACATGATAATCTTACATTCCTGCTAAGTCAACCAAACACAAAATACAACATTCATAGTAATCTTATTCTCTGGTAATCTTACATTCCCACTGATAATCTTACATTCCGTGAACCAAACACACCCTTAGAACATAAAATTTTATGTACCAAAAGAAAAAATATACCTAACTGCGATTTAAAAACTTTCAATTATTCAAGTATAGATTGTTTTAAACACTGATAATTTAAAAATATTATTACATTAATTTTTATAATTATTTTTTAAAAATATATTTTTAGTAATATTAAGTATTTTCATTTTGGAGTATTATTTAGTGCATAAAAAAATAAAGTGGTAGTTAAAAAATTTAGAAAAAAAAAGCAGAAATAAGAGGGGGAAGACCAATAAAATAAGCGCATAAAACGGCTTTTTAGTGTCCTATTTGTTTGTGAGTAGATCATGGCCGCCACCGACACCGCCAACACCACCGCACACCATCCCATCCCATGATGAACGGATAAACCCCAGAAATTAATTTTCAAGAAAAAAGGGTAAAATCCCCAAGAAAATTTAGGATTTTTTCTTTTGGTTCTTTGAAGAACTTGACTTGGTTGGACTCTCCGTTTTCTGAACCTTCTTCATCACTCCCATTGATTTTACTTTCTGGGTGGTGCTGCAGCAAACTAGAAAAGAAAAACCATTTTTTCTTTAATTTTGTTTTGTTTTCTTGGTAAATGTGGGGAGCTCCTGGAGAAGCTGCTGATTCTTATTATACAGTCCGGCCTGAATGCACTGATGTTCCTAGAACCAGATTTAAGATCAAGGTTTTTTTTTTCTTGATTAGAAAGTTGGATCTTTTAAAAAAAAAGAAAATATAGCTTTCCTTTTGCTTTATTATCGGTTCTAATTCGATTGAATTCTAGTTTAGCTGAATTTATTATGTTAGAGTAGCTCTCATTTGGATCTGATCTTGAATTTCTACGCATGTATAATGGTGCTGTCAAAAATGTTTTAGACAATGAGCTCGATGTAGATTGTGGTTTCTTATATGATCAATTCACTGTCAAGCTCTGTTACAAGGATTATTTTGTTGTACTCATGTGTGACACATGCTTAGACATAACTGCCGTTTTTATCCTCCGAATATATGAAAAAAATTAGAAACTAAATTGAGAATACTCGTGTCGCACATAATCGTATACTGCACTCGTCTCAAGTGGATAACATTGAGAAGAAGTTTGGTCCACTCTTTTTCTGCTTCGATCCGTCCATCATTGATCATATTGTTTGTTTGAACTGAAATGAGTAATAATTAGAGATGAAAATGGAAAATTGACTTGCAGAATGGAAAAAAAAGTATATTGATTGATATCGGTGTTCATGCTGAATTGCTATGGTTATTAAGGAAGGAGTAAATTTGACTAATGGATTTGGAAAAGTTGATAGTATATAAATATGAATGAAATTTTATGTTTAATTTAAGACATTGTTATACAATGTATTTACGTAGCCGTAACTAATTTTTGGATCCTTTTTAGCTGATTTCACAAGTTCAGAATTGAGTCAAACATGCGGGCACATACCGGTGTTGACTACCGATACCCTTGTTCGTGTAACTTAGTTGTCATGTGTATTTGTTTCATACTAAAACTTCTGCTTCCATTTAAGAAGATTGGTTTTTTATATATATATTTGTTGATTTTGTAAAAGAAGTTGAGTTCTGCAGTATTTGTAAAACTGAAAAAGGTGCTTTGATTCGAGATAGATGCTTTTCTTGTTTATTCGCTTGTGCAGCCTGGTAAAACTCTAAGTGCAAGAAGATGGCAAGCTGCATTTTCTCCAGATGGACATCTGGATATCGGAAAAACTCTACGTAGAATCCAACATGGGGTAAGTGCATATTTGTATTCTAAATGATTGATTGTTCTTGGAAGTAAATTTCATTTGCTTGTATATTCAAATTTACAAAGTAATTCATTCCAAATCATGGCCATAAAAATCTGGCTCAAAAGCTATGTTGAGGATTTGGATCGACTAGCATTGTTTCCACCTACAATGTAGCTTTTCAGCTGGTCTTGGTTGCAGTCAATGAACAGAAATGTTATAGTAAGTAAAATACGAATTCAAATGTAGATTTTTTCCGTTTGTTTTAAAAAATTGGTGAGAAATGGTCTGGATATCAATATCGTATTTGCCGATTCCGCTACAATTGGGCTTGTAAATGAACAAGCATAGTCTATCCATCAATCAAAATAACAGAAACAAATACGATAATATGTGTCATGTGTAACTTATGTATCAGTCTTGCTGGAAGCATGATGTATGTCTTATGTGTATTGTTGCAAAAAAATGTGTATTATTTCTAAATCTCACATAGAACATATGCATATTATTAAATTGTGTTCGGATATGCTTATGTGTACATACACATGGCTAAGCTTATTTGTTTTTATCTCTTATCTGTTGCCATTATTTTTCTTTTGTTTGCAAAACATAGGGTATCCATCCATCAATTAGAGGAGAAGTTTGGGAGTTTCTTCTTGGCTGTTATGATCCCGAGAGCGCATTTGATGAAAGGGATCAAATACGGCAGCATCGAAGGTAATCCATTGTTCCCATCTTGTATCAGTTTTCTGCTGGGGCCTCTTTCCCTATTGGGGGATCATGCTGAGTGTTGTTTTCTCACTTCTATCCCTTAGGGTGCAATACGCTAGATGGAAGAACGAATGTCGTGAACTCTTTCCCGTTATTGGAAGTGGGAAATATATCACAGCACCTGTCATCACTGATGATGGTGAGCCCATTCAAGATCCTTTAGTGCTTTCAGAGACAAATCCAGGCAAGATACCGGCACCGTACCTTTTTTTCTTCTAAATGGTAGCCGCTGAAAGTGAAATAAACCAGGGTTTAATACGTGATCGATTATTCAGGTACGGATGCTAATAATGCTGACATGGAGAACACGCTACTTCCTCGTGGTCCTTTCGATAAGAAAGTAATCCAGTGGTTGCTGACATTACATCAAATAGGTTGTTTATTGCTTTAGACTTCAACTGCATGCCTTGCTTTCATTTGTTGCTTTCTTCTCTTAGTCGTGACCAAGTTTCTCATGTTTATGTTTCTGTAAGGTCTTGATGTTATTCGCACCGACAGGACGTTAGTATTCTATGAGAAACAAGAGAATTTGTCGAAACTTTGGAATATACTCTCCGTTTATTCCTGGATAGATACGGATGTTGGCTATGGTCAAGGCGAGTAGTTTCTTTTCTAAAACAGTGATTATAATTTCTATTTGTTGATTGCCTTACTCGATTATAGTTCAGGACAATGTTGCTCTTTTCATTCTTTTAAAGTATCATGTATGATGCATATCTGGACACGGGTATGGGTATATGACCCTCCAAGGATCCGCCAAATACATGATTTTTTTTTTCTTGTTGAGAATTTGACCTTTATCCGACACTCACACCCAAGTCTGAGTGACTTCAGTTAGTAGGTCTTTATATAGTTAATGATTTGTAAATAGTTGTAAAGCTCGTTACTGTAATCTCCATTCATTCTACCTCGATTTGTAACAAAGGGAAAAATGATTCTTTTTATATCTACATTGTAATCAAATACTATTTCCATAAGTTGAATTCAATTATAATGTTAAGCAGGAATGAGTGATCTTTGCTCTCCCATGATTATTCTTCTTGAAGATGAAGCTGATGCGTTTTGGTGCTTTGAGCATCTGATGCGCAGATTGGTACGTTTACTTCCATTTTAGTTTATCGCAAAAACCATGGCAGCATGATGCTTATCTTTTCATGTGCACTAGGTCTATTGTGATCACATGACTCGTGATTTTTCTTTTCTAATATTTTCTTTCTTTCGGCTCTGTTACTAGTTTCTAATGATTAATGTTCCTATTTTGAATCTTAAAGCGAGGAAATTTCAGATGCACCGAGAATTCTGTAGGGGTAGAGACACAACTTGGTTATTTAGCTGCTGTAACTCAAGTTATTGATCCGAAACTTCATCACCATTTTGGTATGAAATGAAACTATTTTCTTTTGTTCTCTAGTTTTACACATTGTGCTTTCTTCAGCTCTATTTTTCTTTTGACTCTTCATTTTTCTTCAAGTATCAATGCCCTACGAATATCTCAACATGGATCTGAGAATATGATACTCTTACGGATTCTCCAAATGCCTGGAAATCCTGCAAGAAGATCGAACATTCCTATAACAGACATATATCGATATTTGTCACATCACTCACGCCTAAGTTTGTGTAACATAGTTCTATGAACATACTGGTAGGAACATAACTTACGTTGCACTCTTATATCGTTTTACAGAAACACTGGGTGGAGGTAACTATGTCTTTGCTTTCCGGATGCTAATGGTTTTGTTTCGTCGAGAGTTCTCATTTTGTGATTCATTGTACTTGTGGGAGGTACGTTCAACACTCTTTTAATGCTAATGAATGACGTTCCGAAACATCTGGATGCATATTTTATTGAAGAAAATCATTCTCTCGAACTTAGTTTTTTAATCCATAATACGATTGGTTTCTGGGGGGAATAAAGCTAAAGATCGAGATAAAGTCCTATGAATTATATTGTTTATATACTTGATAAACAGTTTCATAAATGCTTGGTTGTGCCATGTTGAGCGCTCTCATGTGGTTGCCATGACATCACAAATCAGTTCCTGTGTTTTGGCATTCTTCACAAGAATTTTACTGATAAAATAGCTTTGTATTGTTACCTAAACTTTCTGCAGATGATGTGGGCTCTCGAATACGATCCGGACTTGTTCTCTCTGTATGAAGAACCCGGATCAAAGACTGCTGAAGGTTCTAATAAAGGGAAACCGAAATCAACACGTCGGTGCGGGAAGTACGAGAGAGAAAATATGAAAATCAAAAGCTCTGATGCTCCACTCCCAATCTCTGTTTTCCTTGTTGCAAGTGTCTTAAAAGATAGGAGCTCAAAGCTACTTCATGAAGCTCGGGGCCTTGATGACGTAGTAAAGGTGACCTTACATGTTCGTAGCTTTTACTCTCTAAAATTACTCTCCGAATAACGAATACAATAGTCTATAAGGTTAAGCAACGATCACCATCGTCAGGGCCGTGGCTGGGGGGCGCAAACTGCGCGACCGCGCAGGGCCCCCCAAAAAATGGGGCCCAAAAAAAAATATATAGTGGCGTTTTACCAATAAACGTCACTATAGAGAGACCTATTGCGACGTTTTTTCAAAAAACGTCACTATTATTGTGGCTTTATTGATAAAATGCCATTATAGATGGATTTATTGCGGCGTTTGTCAAGAAAACGCCACTATTATTGTCCCGAAATCGAATATATCTAGAAAATAGGGCCCCTTTATACGAATTTGTACAGGGCCCCCCGAAAACCCTGCCACGGCCCTAGCCATCGTTATGCATTGGATTTTCCAAAACCATGAAACATGAGCGAAAATGGCATGAACTCACGAACATCTCAAAATGTATACGAAAAAACATATCATACATTGTCTTAATGATTTTATCTATCTTGTTTTTTTTTTAATCAGATTCTAAACGACATGACTGGAAATCTGGACGCGAAGAAAGCTTGCATTGGGGCGTTGAAACTTCATAAAAAATATTTAAAAAAGGTATTGGCTTTTTTGTTTCAATCCCTATCTTCGGATATGTATCGAGAGATTATCGAATGCACATGCATGTCAATGTCATTGATAAATGATTCATTCATGGATAGCTTTCATTTCTAAGATTTCGGATCATAGTTTCATCCCTATGTCGGAATATACGTCGGACACAGATATTGTGGGGAAAATGCAGAGTCTAGATAACATAAATGTCAATGTCGTTTCGAAATGCAGATGACTCCATGAACTCTTTTCATTTCATGTTGTGATTGCAGGCCAAGAAGACATAGCAATATGAATTTTTCATGAACTCGGCCAAGAAATACTTTTTTCACGTCCGAAGCTACGATTTCACAATGAACCCTTGTTCGGGAATTACCGATCTCTGTATACGAATCTGTTTTGTTGTATTTAATAGACATCTCTGTGTGTTCATGATTATTCGTTTCAGTGAAATACAGAAGAAAATAGCTGATTATGTATAAATACTTCATACCCTTTTCATAAGAAACAGGAATAATAGATTATCAAAATTGCAACCCTCTAAAATACATTGTCATTAAGCAAATTCTTGTTCCAACAAGCCCTTAATAAAGAGATTCTTTCAAAGCAAAATTATTGACAGACTTAAATTAATGAAGGATCATAGATTTTATGAAACAAAAAAATGAAGGAATCTTCAATATCCAACTAATATTGAACAAGATGAGCAGAAGAGGGGGAAATCAACAATGAACATGAAATCCAATCCAATACCAAAGGCTGGTCCTCAGCTGTGTAGTTTTCTATGTTAGCTTCATAAAAATCTATCATTGAATTAGAACCCCTTTCTTCTGGTACTTGAGATGTATTCCTTTTATCGAAAAATCCCAGCACGAACACTGGCGGCTTCCCGCTTTGATCGACTGCAAACATGACATCAATCGGAAGAAAAAGCGAAAGTTTCAGCATACCTTGTTTAAACAAACACAATCATCAACCCTCGTCGTCAGAACTAGAACTAAAATTGTTCCTCCTTCGTTCAGCAATTGCGGAAAAAAGCTTCTGATGAGGATCAGGGGAAGTTGGTGCAAAACGGGACTCGGAGGAAGATGATGATGCATTGGAATCCTGTTTTTTATGTGCTTTTACCGGCTTCCTTGGGGCGTCTCTAACTTCTTTGCAAACCTTATCCAGAATAATCAAGAAGTCTCGTACGATGACGAACAAGCGTAAGCCCTCGTCCTTATGCGCGTTACCATGGAAATAATCGCCAGTACTCTTCACCATTGCCATTATCCTCTTCTCTTCCTCGAGTAATGATGTGACATCGACCTCTGCATTCTGCACAAAACTCTTTAAGGTTTCATGGAAACCACTTTCTTCCCCCGAATTTTTCATCTCAGAGTTCAAGAAATTTCGTGCTTTTAGGAGTCCATGACCAAGTTTGGCAGTGGTTCCTGTTAAGGTTTCGGCATCTATTGCTGCTGCTTTCTTGACATTTTCGAGTTCATTACTCAGATGGGAAACCACCTGAAGACCAAGTCCATGGTAGTGCTCTTCCGTATATGGGGAAACATCCTCAAGATCAACGGAACTTTTGTTTTCTCTCGCAATACGGGCAGCTTTCATGCCTTCGGTGCGTATAATTTCTTGGACAACAAAGTGCAATAGTGTAGTCTTGCCATCCACTCCTTTAACATCTGATAACTTCAAAAGTGTGTCGAGCTTGAAAGCTTGTGCACCACCACGGAATGTCCCATCGTTCATGCGATTTCCGGTTTTAAGAACAGCTTCTAAAAGCTTGAGGAATAAGCGGCTACTTCTGAGCTCCTTGCAAGCAACCTGCCAAAATAGTAAAGACAGAATTCGATTGAATAAAACATATATATTTTGTTGACTGTCTTAAAAAAAAATTCCCAAGACGTTCTCGATCTAAATGCCAGTTGTGATTCATGCAAGTCATGCAAATTAAAATTAATGACCCACCTCTAATGTTTCGAAGGACTCTCTTGTGAAAGTAACCTCCTCATAAAGAGAGCACATATAGACCAGGGTTTCCATTCGTTTAAAAGCAAAAGGGATGTCGACCAAAACTTTCAAGAACCGCTCGGCAGGACCAAGTTGGAAAATTTCACCATTGAACATTCTAAGTTTGAGTTCTTCATCTGTTGTCGGGGCCATCTTCAATAAATTCTGAAGGAGTTCAACAGGGAGCTCATTTCCTGATAAAAAAACAACAGGTTAGAATATCATAATCGAAAACTTAACACATTAGTACTACCTCATTTTATGTCTAGAAATATAACAAATATACAAGGAACACAGTGTAGTTATTTGGTTGTAAACAATCTCATGTTTCTACACGAGTTTAATGATTGGGATCATGTTAATATTTTTCTTACAGAAATGAATAGAAAAGCTCGGTCAGTATGTTCATTTTCCTCCTTGACCTTAAATCGGATAGAGTGAGATAAAAGCTACTCTACCACATATGGTTAGCTTCAATGAAATGCAAATGATTGGCATTCTTCAGGTACAAGGCTAAGATTAGTCATGGTAGATATATAACAAATTGCAACTATGACTCTCTTCCAAAATGTACAATGTATGGGAAAAAAAAGAATCTTCTTAGAAAGTAGCGAATCATATACATAACTTTCACATTTTATAGGTGGTCATGTTTTAGCGAATCAGATAAGTAAATGTTGTGACTAAATTCTTGGTTAGTTATCAAATTGTCCACCAATCGTTGAAAGCACAAATATTATAATTACTGGTGAAAATGGTAGTAGTCATAATTGCTAAACATGCTCTGCTGATGGCCATGTATGCCACACAATCATCAATCTGGAGCACGGATCAAAAACCTACGGATATGTTTCTCACAAGCACTCATTTAAATGGAAAAATAAGATGGAGGAAATCACCTTCACGAAGAGCATCACAAACTTCTTCTGTGGTCACATTCAACGCCCGTAAAAGGATTGCTAAATTTTGCGCCTTCTTGGGGTCAAGGAGTTGAATATATTGAGGCACAGATTCCTGGGTAGAGGCCTCTTTCTTTTTATCATTTTTGTTCTTGTCAATGGCTGCATACCCAAACAGGGTTTCTATCATCTCCTCATTGAACCTGCAAACATAGTAATAGTATAAATATATCCCGTACTCATCCATTGGCATAAAGAGTAAAGGAAAAAATGGTAAGAGAACTTTTTACGTACTGGAATGATCCAGATTTAATTTGATTCCAGACCATCGAATGTTCAGGGTTTGCTGCAACTTTATCCCAGAAAAATGGCTTCAATTTAGCTTTAGGAGCGTTGCCATCATCTGCTGAGCCAGATTCCTCGCCAGAGATAGCATTTGATGTTTGTTGTGGTCCACTTGGAGGTCGAGGCACCTTGGGACCTGAAGGCATAGGTGGAGGTGGCCTGGGAGGTCCGAGACTGATACCTGGTGGAGGTGGTGGTGGGCGAGGACTGGGTTTGGCACCAGGCGGAATAGGTGGTGGAGGAGGTCTGGGGGCCATAGTAGCAGAAGGAGGTTTCATAGAGGGATGTGGTGCAGGAGGTGGCGCAGGAGGACTGGCTCTAATGGGGCAGGAGGTGGTGGAGGACTGGCTCTAATGGGGGCAGGAGGTGGTGGAGGACTGGCTCTAATGGGGGCAGGAGGTGGAGGACTGGCTCTAATTGGGGCAGGGGGTTCCGGAGGAAGAGGATCTGCTTTGCCTGGAGAAGGCTTCAAAGGAGGAAATACGGGTCGGGAAGCGCCGACCCTTCCTGGAGGCAGTGGTAGCGGTGGCTTAGTATTGCCTGATATATCAGAAGATCCAGCTGAGGCTACGGGGGCAGCAGCAACAGCTCCGAATGACTTCCCATCAAAGGAGAGTTGTTGAGCATTAGATTGAATATAAACATTCCCATTAGTCGAGGCCCTTTTATGTAGGCTCAATTCATTTCCAAACGATTGATGACCTAGCTTCTCTTCTTTATTAGTTCCAAAAGCATATGCATGAGAAGAACCTGGAAAGAAAAAAAAATGTTTCGATCAATAACTTCTGAAAGCTTCTAGAAAACAACAGTTTGTGGGGAAAGTATATACCACCAGAGAATTCATTTAAGCTTAAACTGAGAAGGGGCCTCTCATCATTTTGTTTAGCTGAAGAACCTCTACGACAGCATAACAAGAAGAACAACGCTGCAGCAACAGATGTTACTACTGCAGTCACAACACAAGCAATAATAATTGTTCTACTGTTATCAGTCCCCTTGTGTTTCGGGTCCATGTTGGCTGGGCTTATATCATTTTGAAGATCATTTATAGGACTTGCAGCTTCATTAGAAGGTATGGGAAAAAAAGAGGGCAAAGATGCCGGACTTTCTGGACTCAAACGAGGAAATTCAGAATTAGGAGAAGGGATGGGAGCCGATGATGGTCCTAAGTTCGAGGCAGGGGCTATGGCAATGCTCTCAGTAGCCAAAGCCCTTCTAGGAGCTTCATGCCAGTGAAACAATGACTCGAAATATCTGGTGTACCAAGTCTTAAAGCCACTATCTTCTCCAGATACTTGAAAGAGAAGATTATTCTTTCTTATGCAGTCAGAAAGAGCTCGCTTTAGCTCGGGATGGAGAAGGCTAATCAATTTCTGATCACTTGCTCCCTCTAATGAGTAACTTTGTGCAGTAATATCATTGGTTGTACGGGGTTTTTGCCCCAGAAGATATAAGTTCGGATCTCCAAAATCTTCATTTAAATCGTTCAAATCTTGTCTGCAACTAATCCATAACAAATCAGCCTGCATGTAAACAATTGAATAATTTCAAACAAGGTTACAGCAAAGAGAAAGTGGGCTTTTCCCCTACTTCCTAAACCAGCAGAAACCAAAAGCATCTTAATGTTCTATCCTATTGACAGTGAAAATTAGCCGGTACCCGTAGTTAATCTCATGAATTTTTAACGTTTTGTAGGATGATCATAACATCGAATGTCATTTTCACTAATTGATGCAGCCAATATTCGATATTCAAGTCATTTTCATCCACAAATGATAAGCTTTAAAACATAATCTAGTTTCTTCTACTTCTCAAAAGTTCAGTGTACACAACGAGGCTCCAACTCATAATTTTTCTTAAAGTAGAAATGTATGAAACCCATGCTCAACACATATTAGAACATAGTACGGGAGAATGACCATTCGAAGACCCTTCAAATACATGAAAAGACTTATAAAGAAATGAACATACTTGAGTCAATCACTAACACCCGAATGTGAATAACATAGGTATGCACTATCCATCCATACATGCAAGCTACCAACATCAGGAAAAATTATCTAGTTCCAGAAAATATTTCAATGCATTAGCGCCTAATACTCCCACGTATTTCCATCTCTAATGCTGGTTTTTGTTTTCCCCAACTTCAAACCATAAACCTCGGTACCAAAAAAAAAACGATATGGAAATTACTAATACTACTTTAATACCTCTAAGTAATCAATGAAAGATCATTACATGTTACAAAGTTTAAAAATGCTTGAGTCGAATGTTGAAATATGGTTCCAAGATATTCCCAAGGATTCATTAAACATGCTATCATCGATTTCTAATAAACAAATCTACAAATGCTTTCGTTCCATAAAACGATACTGTTCAAGCAAATCAATTGCAGCCAATGAACATTAATGTAAATACAAACAATCACTTAAGCAAATCAAAACTCGAGAGCAAAGAAGCAAAGCAATCTACTATACCAGATTCTCATCAATCTCTCCAGTTGCTGGATCTACTAGTTGGTTAAGAAATGCTTCTTCTTCTCCATCCCTACTGTAATCTAAGCTAGAAGTCAATGATACACAAAGCAGAGCTACCAAAAGCACAAAACAAATTGTTCTTAAAAACCCCCATCTTTTCCTTATATAATAAACATCATCAATGCACAGAAATGATTCTTTTTCATTTGATCAATAACCCAAAACCCTACCAAGTTCTATCATCCACATTCAAACTTTAAAACATTGGCACCAAAATACCCTTCAAAGGGAGACCCTTGAAATCTGCTGGAAAAACAAGCAGATTCTGCTGAAATACTTTATGAAGGACTGAATCTTAGGAGCAAAACAAAACCCAGAATTTGTTCTCCTCAACTAAACCGAAAATATGGATCAAAATCAAATATTGAAACCAAGAAAGCCAGAAAGGGACTATATGATGAACAGAGAGCTTAAAAAGAAACTCAAAAGGCACTCGATTTCAAAAAAATTTTCTCTTCTTTTGTCATTGAAAGGCCCCAAGATGTGAACTACATTGAACAGAACAAAGATGGGTGGTTTTATTATGAAATTTATGACTGAATCATATAATGAATGGCAGCTCGTGTCAGAGAAAATACTTACACGGCATGTAAAAAAGTTGACCATTAAGCAACATTTGCCTTTTAATTCTTACCCTTAACCATGGTTTTTCATCTGTATACAATTTATTAATCTACTAATATATATTAGATATCAAATAAATTTATTACGAGAATGATCTTTTTAATCTAATTTTTTTTATTTATGTTATTAAAATTTAAATTTTTAATATTGTTTAAAAAACCTAATCAGAGATGAAATTATGATCAAATTACGTAAATTCAAAATAATTAAGATTTATTAAGTATATATTAAAAAATTATAGGAGTAATAGTCTAACTCAAGTTTAAACTGATAAACACTTGCATTATTATTAAACAAAAACTAATGAAAAGATTTCGCATCTAGATTTACTGTCTCGTACTATTAGATTAATTGATTGTTAATGAAGATTTTCTTTTGTTGGTGAAAAAATTGTTTTATTTTCAATCAAACTGGTAATGTATTAGCAAGAGATGTCATTTTAGATTAATTTCGAGTAATTTATTTCCTTCTTCGTATAAAAAGTATTTAATTATTATTGTTTTAAATTTAAATAGTTTTTTTTTAAAAAACTTATTTGATACAAATTTTTAAAAAAATATATGAAGAGTAAAATTATAAATAAAATTATTAATTATAATTGTCTTCATATTTTTTAAAAAGAAGATTGAATTTGAAGGGAGAGTAATTATTCTAAATTTTAATGAAATTTAAAATCATTCTTTATTTAGAAAAAAGAAGAAGGTATTTTTCTAAAAAAATATAATTTCTAGAAAGAAAAATAATGTTTTGAATGTTGGAAGAAGGGAATTGTCAAAAGTTGACCTAATTTCTTAGCAGCTTCCCAAGACAAATGCAAAGCAATTAAGCAAAGCCCTTTAAAAGCTACGCGTTTCGTTTTAATATAATTAAAAATAGCTAATTTCATTACACATCCTTACACTATAACTCACGTACCAAATTAGTCCTTAACTTTTTAAAATTTCAATTTCATCCCTAAACCATAACCTTCATTCTAAATTGATCCTAAACTTTTAAATCTTCCAATTTCATCCCTAAATTATGACACTCGTTCTAAATTGATTCCCAAATTTTTAAATATTTCGGTTTCATCAAAATATGTAATTAATTTCAATCTAATTTTTTCTCAAACATAAAAATACATAGTTTGGCTTAAGAGTTTTATTAACATGGGACATGAATAGTATATAATGATAATTTGGGATGAAATTAAAACATTTCGAAAGTGTGGGAGCCAATTTAGAATGGGAGTTATGGTTTCAGAACGAAATTTAAATGTTCAAAAATTTAAAAATTAGTTCAAAACAAAAATCATAATTCGAGAAGAATAAAATCAAAACGGTCAAAAATTTAAAATAGAAGTCACGATTTAAGAATGTATGATATGATTAATTGAATTTAAAAGAATAAGAACAATGCTTCATACCCTCTCGGGCAAAATTGATCACATGAGTAACGACAAAAGAAAAAAAATTGACTAAATTTTTACGATGGGATGATTGTTAAAATCACCTTACATCATACAATTATAACGCTAAGGGTGCGTTTGGTTCACAGAATATAAATTACCAGTGAGAATGTAAATTATCAGGAATAAGATTATAAGGAATAAGATTATTGAGAATGTTGTATTTTGTGTTTAATTGGTTTAGCATGAATGTAACAGGGGAATGTGAATTTCATTCGATGAATCCTATATTTCTCCAACCAAACGCCCACAGGTTAACAAAGCAATAAACTCCCCATATTTTATACAATTGAAGGCTAACAAAACAAAAAATACACTGATCTTTTAAAAAAACACATTATACTCCCACAATTATCCTACTTCAATAAATAAGTGGTAGAGGAATATCTTTTCCTCGGTACACCCTTATATTATTTATATACAGTTTGGTCCCGACTCATCTTTTTAATAATATCTGTAATTTAATTCTTTAAACTCAACATAAATAAAATAATTTTAATAATTATCAACAATTAATTGATTTAATAAGATAAGATATTAAATTCCTTAAACAAAGTCAAAAATTTAATTCACTTTTGATCACAAAATAAAATAAAAAGGTAAAATGGATTTACCTATCACCATTAATACCTTTATGATAAATTTACTCGCTCATTTTATTTATCTTTAATTTAATTGACGATTTTTTAATCAACATTGATGACTAATTTTATTGGTGATGATTTGAAAATTAATAGATATGAAAAATCATTATTGATTCTAACATACACCAAAGTACAAGAAAATGATTGATTTGATTTGTATTCACATTAATATATAAAAAAAGCCTAACAAAGATGTTACTAACTAAACTACGAAGTATACTAATGGAACAGCAATCAGATGGCAAAATCCCTGAAAGGGGGGGGGGGAAAGAATGATTTGTTCATGGATTTGGGTAAGATCTAAACTCATCTTATTTAATCAACATCGCCACCGGCGGCCTTGGAGGTTCCGGTTTTCTTTGGGAGGAGGAGGTTGTGGATGTTAGGCATCACACCGCCGTTGGCAATCGTCACACTGCCGAGCAGCTTGCTCAGCTCTTCGTCGTTCCTTACCGCGAGCTGGATGTGGCGTGGCACGATTCGGGTCTTCTTGTTGTCTCTCGCTGCATTTCCGGCGAGCTCGAGAACCTATAAACAAAGTTTTAACTAGGATTAGCATATTTTTTCTAATAAAATCTAATATGCTTTTACGTAAATAAGGACCCTATATTATCCAGTTTTTGGGATAAAGTTTTTTTTTTCAGATTTGGTTGGGGCAAGAACCTAATTTGCAATATATATATATATATGGCATGGATCCGAAGATGAAACCTTAATTTAAAGCTAAAATCTAATTGCAGAAACCTTGAAATTCCCAAAATTGAAATTAACAGAGCGGATTTGAGATGAAAATTGTCGATATGATATAATATAAGACCAATCTAGAAATTAGAATTTCTCACATTTCAAGAACAGAATTATAAAACCAGGCTACAAAATCAACACTTCCTAATGAAATTTACCTCGGCGGCGAGATATTCCAGAACGGCGGCGAGGTAAACCGGAGCTCCAGCTCCGACTCGCTCAGCATATTTTCCAGCCTTGAGGAACCGAGCGATACGACCCACCGGAAACTGAAGCCCGGCCTTGCTACTCCTCGAGGTTGCCTTCTTCGACGCTCCGGATCCGAGAGTTTTGCCCCGACCCGCCATTTGCACCCGAAACGAACAAGCAAAACGAAAAGATTAAAAAATTAGAAAGTTTTTGCCGCTTATTTTGGGTATATATAGAGGAAAGTGTGAACAAACTAGCCAATGGAAGAGAGTACGCGGATAAAGAAGAATGACCGTAGGATGTAGATTAAATGAGCGGTATGGATCTGAAAACCGAACACCGCTTCTGCCCTTTTATTTTATTAGGTAAAGATATCGTTAAACTATTTCAAAATATTTTTTTATATTAAATTTTAATTTTTATTATAAAATAGTTACTATTTTTAGAGAATGATGAATTACATTAAGATTAATAGACAATATCTCACTTTCTTTAATTGTAATTAAATTTCGAACTTAAGTCCAGGTTTATTAATGTATACTAATAAATAAAGATAAATTAAAATCAAATATCGAAATTCAGCTTTATATACTTAATTTTAATTTTATTTTTTTTTATTTTTTATTTTTGTTATTTTTTTCATTTTTATAATCGGTAGCGGTACTAATCTTAGTATGTTAATATTTCTTTCATTCGATACTCAATTTATATTTGTAGATAATTTTCTAACATCACTATGTTGTCATGACTAAAAATATCTTTTTATATTAAATTTTAATATATATATATATATATTTTAAAATTTTATTATAAAATAGTTACTATTTTTAGTGAATGATGAATTACATTAATATTAATAGACAATATCTCACTTTCTTTAATTGTAATTAAATTTCGAGCTTGAGTCTAGATTTATTAATGTATAATCAATAAGTAAAGATAAATTAAAATCAAATATTGAAAATCAGCTTAGTTTTAATCTTAATTTTTTATGTTGTGGTTAATTTTTTCTTTATCTTTGTAATTGATAACAATATCGACTTTAGTATTAGTTGCCGACTACCGATATTTATTTATTTTTATTTTGTTATTTTTTTTTCTTCAAGTTTTAATATGTTTATCTTTTGTGACACATTTTCTTGTCTTTATAATATATTTTCCCTGTTTTTAGCACGTTTTCAGTCATTTAGCCATTATTTTCGTTAATCATTTTTCTTAGAGTTGGATTTAATATCGTCATGATTAATTAAGACGCCGTTCATTTGTTATTACTTATCTTTCCTGCATTTCAAATTAGATTTAGATACACGATTTGTATTCATGAATAATTTTCTCACATCACTATTTTATCGATAGTCTTTCAATAGCTTAACTCCATTTTGTTCATTTATCAATGCAGACAGATTTTTTTTCGAATCTAACTTTTATTTAAATTTGTTTGGTTAGATTTTTAAACTTTTTTTATGATCTTACTAATTTCTTATGTTAATAATTATAAGAAACTATTTTGTTATATGTATATTTTACGGTTATATTGTAGATATTCGTTGTAATTTGTATATTTTCTAAGTTTCTATAAAAAAAATTAAATTCAGAAAATTGATCCAAAACCACATTATCAAAAGGTAAAATTGATACCATTATTATTTTTTTCAAAAGTTTGAGAATTTGACACTTAAAAGATTACAACTTTGAATGTGCCAATGTTATTGAAGCCACCTCTATAAAAAGAAAAAACCAAAGGAGTAGCTAAAATCTCCAACTGAAATTCTATGATAGTTCCCTTTCTAAATTCAGCTATTAATCCTCTCAAAAAAGTACAAGTAACCCATGTCCTTGGGTGGATTGATTGAAGCACCAACCTTGTCACCCATCTACCATCTTTCAGGACGTGAGCAACGTAATGCCCCACACTGTGTCGAGGTTCCGATGTGACTCGCTATCCCTAAAAGTCGATATCCTGGCATTCAACGAAACATTGCAACGGGTAAGAAGTCCGGTGATCAGACAAATGTGAAATACACGAACAAGATAAGAGACAATAGACTCACTCCCTCCTCCGTTCGGCAGTCCTGCTTCAACTGGAGTAGGTGTGCTGTTGCTTGATGTATTTGTATCCATGGCTGATGCTGCAGAGGCATTGGGGTTGTTAAATATCCAATCTGTCGCTTTTTCAATGTCGCCGCCGTGGAAAAAGGTTACATTCGCCCGCGATTAAGAATTTCTCGAGCATAAGGAAACAGATTGTGGAACTACAGTTTCCAAATCCGCCAAAGAAATGAAATGCCACAAAGACTTTACCGATGCCTTCAATGCCATTCGAGCAATTTCTTCTTCAAAACCAAATGAAACCAAAGTATCAACTGCTGATTGGTCGATAGATGTCTCAGCAACTTTCGCACCATGGGAGATAGGGGCATCTATATCTGAAAAGATATATCGATGATGATTATCATTTGGATACGATGCTATATGTCTATCGGTCAATTTAACAGCTGTAAAATGCTAAATTCCGGATACCTGGATCATCCATATGTGAAGCAACCAGTTCATGGCCTCTTCCACACCAGTATTTAAAGTGTTTATGGCAGCTTTCTGACAATGAAGCAGGTTAAACCCCATCGAGGCAAGCTGGGCAACAATTGCTTCGTTGGCCACGGGCTCACTTGATTCTGCTCGCCCTCAGGAGCTTTGCAGTAGAAATAACAGATGCCAAGAAAAATAATTTACAAATCAATAATTCTCTTTTAGATCAAGTTCTCAATCAATAATAAATTATGGAATCCATTAATTCACATACCAGCTTCTGGAAAAAGTTCTTCTCCGGGTTGAAGGCCTTTGCTGCGCATATGGCTTATATCTATCAGGCCTTTACGGCTATAGGATAGCCAGTCTCCTTGTAGTGCTCAACAGCGTGGTTGTTACCACCAGTTCCATCCCAATTTCTCCTCCCACAAAGGATCATTCCATCCAGGGTTTTAAAAAACGGTCCGCGACCACGATTTCGGCCGCGATATAGCGGTTTCGTCGCCGTCCGAGTTACCCGCGACGGCCGCAATCACGGTAAATCCGAAATAACCGAAAACGCGACCGCGGAACCCTGATTCCATCAGTAAGATTTAGCCATAGATTATCTCTTTTATCACACTTAGCACATTTCCAACCAGATTGGGGAACAACAACATCGCCAATTTGCCGCAAATCAATTGCATATGCACTTATTTGCTTCTTATCAGCTGTCCAGGCTGCAACTTGCTCTTTCCGTTCAGCACCCTCAGCCATTAAAATTGCATCAACAGCCAACCTTACCTATAATATCATATGGGATAAACAAGCCCGGTTCTTGTCCAAGATGAAGAACTTCTATGTTTAGTCTGAAATTATTAAAAAAATAAAAATGGAGACAATTCATACCTTCTCAGGCAACTCCACAGAAGGAAAAGGAAGAGTTGCATAAGTAGGCAAAAATGACTATATTGTGGGTTTCTTCATATTCCGGTTCATTGCTGTCAAATCCACCGTCAATACCTATAAATAAAATTGCATAGGTTAATCAATATTACAACAACAGATGAAACTAAGACAACACAATCCTTCAAAAAGCATTTGAACTTTTCAAACATTGACTTGTATCGATTTGTAGTTTCACATGGGTTCCACATGCAGAGTCCAATGGGAATAAAATATGCAACAGCTCTAATTCTAAACATGCTTGTAAATGGATAAATTTGTTTTGATTTTTTTATTAACAGCTGCAAGCACCACTTATACTTCAACTCATAATCAAAGAAATTAAAGATACCAGCCTGTGAAGTGCATTATTTAATGGTCTCATCTCAGAACGTAAGACATGATTATGTATTAGAGAAATTGACATAAGCAATTTCAATATTTCCCCTTATATTTAGAGCCCCAGAACAGTATAACAAATGTTTATACGTTGAGATCTCAGAAACGAAACCTACATGATTACTTTTACAAAAATTAAGTGCAAAACAAAATAGTAACCACTCTCAGTTGCTGTTTTATCAAGGGCATGCGATATAGGTGCTAGAACCATTATAATTGCTAAAGACACACAAAAAAGGCCCGCTAGAGTAAAGTAAGGTGCATACATTGCCAACACGAATAACAAGATAACATAACGTTCACAAGCAGAAGACAATAACAACGCAAGACTAAATCAATTGTACGTATAAGAATATTGTAAAAGTACCAATAGCCAAAAGTGTGGGTTTCTTCAAAGGCCTATCTTCTGAAACCGACTTTTTTGTTTGCTTAATATGCACATACACAGAATTTCCAGTCTTCTCATAATTTCAAACCACATGATCTTTCCCAAATGCTAGAAACGTATTCATATCAACAAACAACCCCCCTTCTGACCTCTGCAAAAATTCAACCTCATTGAAGAGTTCTTGAAACAATATTTGAAAAAAGAAAACCTAAATGCTTTAAAAAAAATGAAATGAAAATTCTTTAGTAAAAAAATCTGAGCTTTGAATAACTTTCCCGGAAGCCAAACAATAGACAAGCAAAACAAAGTCGAAACAATCAAAAGTAAACACACGTACCCTATCAACCAGGGATTCAAATTGCGGTCGCGGTCGCGTTTTCGATCGCGTTGCGTTTATCGCGGTCGCGGATGTAATGGATGCTATCGCGGTAACTGCGGGTATCGCAGACGTGAATTTTTTTGAAATTCGCACAACTTATTATAAAATATAGTAATTATAATTATAATTATAGAAAATCACTTTTAATGATTTTTAGAGTATTTTCTAACACTTATAGACTTATTATCAGTAAGAACACTAAGAACAATATTCAAAACTTAAAGCCTTTACTTTTTTCCCATTTGATGATTTAATGGACTGCAAACTGTAATAGAATACATGGCAGTCAACATCTCAAACAAATTCATATCATTGATACATAAATTCATATCATCACACATCCACAAAGAGAGTAGGAAAAATACCACAAACAAAAATATAACAGTACAAGTATAATAGCATCAACACTACGTGAAGCATGAGAAATCATTCCCATTCTCATTGATACCAGCAAGGAACAAGCACTGCAAGGAAGTAAAAAACAATAGATTGTAACAAAATATACATATAGAAGCTCTGTTGTGGAAAAATTACACAAGTATTAAATTGTTTTCCCTCATGATAAAAGTACATGATACGCATTGGCAGG